TATATATTCCACTCTTATTAAATGTACCTTTATTCTTCTAGTATATGGAACTGACCAACTTCAGTGATTATGTGTGATTTAGTAGCAAATTGAAGAAAAGTTTGTTTTTCAAGGCACTTTGTGACTTTTCTTACTTCATACACAAAAAGTGTAAAATTCTGACAAAATCTGATTTCTTGATGATTTGATATTTTATAATATTGATTTTATAATTTCAAAATATAGAGAAAAGTAGAAATGAATGACTAATAAGCCAATAAGTGCTCCTCTGCTGCCGTCTACTGGTTATAATTGTGATTTGATGTATTTTTTTTATTTTACATAAGCGTTTGTTTACCACAAATTATATTTTGATCATACCATTAAAAATAACATTCAAACTGGATAATTTTAGAGCTTTAAAGTGCTGGAAATAGTTTTGTGAAATGCTTGAATGTCATTGAAAAGTGCTTGAATTTCTCTCTCAAAAGGTTGTACAAACCCTGAAATGAATGATGTAATGCATTCAGCTATTTCTAACACAACACCACGGTTACAGTTAGCATCACCGCTTCTGGTTTCCTGACGTATGTCAGCGCTGTTTATAACAGAGAATTCTGTGCAGGATTTGAATGATTCTCACAGCAACCTTATCATTGTGCGGCGAGTTCAAACGCTTCTCACTGGATCTCGCAGCACTGTGCATCTGTGCAGAAACACACACGGATTAAATGCAAATCCGGAAAAAACGCTCTGATTGGTTGAACTCCTCATCTTTTTCTGTTGCTTGTTTACTGCGCGTGGACAGGTCACCAGGTTTTTGCGTAGTTTAGAGTGACAAATCGTACCAGCGTACTTTAAGGTCAAAATGCGTACCCGCTACGCAAAATGCGTACAGGTTGGCAGGTCTGCTGTAACAATATTCGCCCCGTTGTCAGTAGTGATGCAGAAAATTTGACTTTCTTTTATGTTCCAATCATGCACGACCTCTGCCATCATCTTAGCCAGTACCTCTGCAGTGTGGTTCTCCGAGACGAATGTTGTTTAGAGATATTTAGCACTCAGTTTTTAATCCTCTGAAATATAATATACTGTAACAGACATGTAGGGGATCATATTTATGCTTGACCACATGTCTGTGGTCAAAGCGACAAAGTCAACCACTTTCAAATCTTTAGCGATGATCTCCCTCATTTTATTGTACATATCAGGGATACCAGTTTTGGTTAAATACTTGCGCCCCGGCAGCTTGTACTGTTTGTCAAATGTCTGAAGTAGTTCTTTAAAACGTTCCTTATCAACGGTATGATAGGAAACCATCTCCTTCGCGATATACTTAGAAACAGCTGCTGTGCACCATGCCCACCTTTCACTGTTTCGTTTGTACTTGGTGCTTTTTGCAAAAGCTCCGTCAATTGATGACTGACTTGGACCTTTGCTGACCGTCACTGAAGCTTCTTTTGGTGCTAGTTTAACAGCCTCAGTGGGGTGGTGAGTACGCAAATGTACGAACAAGTTTGACGTTTGAGACTCTTACAGACACAACATTGGTGCAAATTTTGCAGACTGCTTGATTTATATCCTCAGGCTCACCATTTGCATCTGGTTTAAAACCAAAAATTGCCAAATAGGCGATGTGACGTTTTTGTAGTTAACCAACTCCATCTTTGCTTGCAGAATTATCAACAATTCAAATTTCCGGTGCGTCATTTCCCGAGATGAAAATTAATGTAAATTAAGTAGATAATTAAGTAAAATACATAGAAAAGAAAATGAATAAGTTGATAAATTAAACTAAATTAAATTAGTTTAGAAATGATTAAATATATGAGTAAATTAGTGAAGTATTGCACTGCCCCGCCCCCACGCAATAATATCATTTATCGGCGATCTCACAGGCTGACGATATGGCGATCTGAAAATGAAGCATATCGCACAACACTAATCTACACCTTGATTGGAGTACACCTGTGCTAAATTAAATTGATTGGACATGATTTGGAAAGGCACACACCTCTCTATAAAAAGCCTCACAGCTGATCATGCATATCAGAGCAAAAACCAAGCCATGAGGTCAAAGGAACTACCTGCAGAGCTCAGAGACAGGATTGTTGCAAGGCACAGATCTGGGGAAGGCTACAAAACATTTCTGCAGCACTGAAGGTTCCCAAGAGCACAATGGCCTCCATAATTCTCAAATGGAAGATGTTTGGCACAACCAGGGCTCTTCCAAGAGCTGGTCGCCCGGCCAAACTGAGCAATCGGGGTAGAAGGGCCTTAGTAAGAGTGGTGAACAAGAACCTGATGGTTACTATAACTGTGCTTCAGAGATTCTGTGTTCCAGAAGGACAACCATCTCTGCAGCCCTCCGCTGATCTGGGCTTTATGGCAGAGTGGCTAGACCAGGGGTAGGCAAGTTCGGTCCTAGAGAGCCCGAGTCCTGCAGAGTTCAGCTCCAACCCTAATCAAACACACCTGAACAAGCTAATCAATGTCTTTAGGATCACTAAGGCTTTAGACAGGTGAGGTTGTTTTTCAGGGTTAGAGCTGAACTCTGCATGACTGCGTAGGACCGAACTTGCCTACCCCTGGGCTAGACGGAAGTCTAAACAAGTGAATAATTTCCGAATGCACTGTATGTAGACCTATTCTAGGAAGTATGTAGAAAGTACTAGAAGGTACAAAAATATCTATAATATTTTTTCATCTACTTTAAATGGATAGTTTTGTAAACCAAAATAATAACAAAAATGAATTGACGGTATCATGAAAATAACAGAATAGTCTGAATAAACAAAAGGACAGCACCACCCCATATACAACTCTATATCAAAAGATTAGGATATACAGTGTAAGACAGTTGAGGCAATGCTTGGAAAAAAATATGATCAAAATATCAACTTGCATAATAATCATGCACGCACTGTAAATATTCGTTTATAAACTTAAAGGTGCAAATTAAATTAGTTAAGAACAGTTTTAATTTAGTTCATGGTATTACAGTAGCATACTGTAAAGTAGATTACTGCAAATAACTGTTAACAGTAAATTACTAGCAAAAGTGTTGCCGATATTCTTCCATTAATTTACAGGACAATATTTTAGTTGTGGTCTGACTGGACCTTTCATTTATGTTTACGGAATCAAGCACGGTTATTTAAATATTTCTGTGACAGATTGTAATTCCCATATCGGGTCTGTTGCGATGAATTTTAATGTCCACCTTCCTAACCTAATCCAACTTCACATAACGTTTTATTTTAATAAACCACATATGTTAATGTATATCAACAGCAGGCATATGTTTGTTTACTGCTTCTTTGGGTAGTGAGTCCTTTTAGCTGCAGAAGAGTGATGAATTTCATGTGTTGGAGATTCTTCTGTATTTGAAATATTGCTGAATGCTGTTTCAAGAAGTGGTAAGGACTAAATCAGACTTCACAAACAATAGTGGGCACATGTTCCATTTGCCCCACTAATAAATTACACCAACTTTGTGTTCTGTCTATAGTCTAATCTCTGTATTTTAACAGGTTTCTCTGTTTCACACATAATGATGCTGATTCTCTGTATTGCTGCATCTGGATCTGCACTTCTGCTCTACTGTCTGATCTACTGCAGATCACAATTTATCACAGGTATGTTTACAGGAAAATACCTCAAAGACATTTATTCAATGTGGAGAGATGTCCAAATAGAGTATATCAATGTCACAGTGTTACAGTTTTAGGAAAATCAACCAACCATTTTTAGAATGGTTTAGTCTTGGTCTAATGGTTAGAGAGTCAGAATTGTAACCCAAAGGTCATGGGTTCGAGTCTCTGTATCGGCAGGGATTGTAGGTGGGAGGAGTGAATGTACAACGCTCTCAACGAACAAAACTCATCATAAAAAACCCGTAGGAAATTATTTAGAGAACCCATGGTGACTTAGCCTTAGGGATTTGCTTAGAAACTACAGTCACAGCTGAGTAAACATTTAATAAGGTAAGTGTATGTAAAGTGGCTCAAGATGATATACATACACTAACATTCTGTATTTGTTCTTTAGACCCCATTGCAACCAAACGTGTCAGGACTATTGGGGTTCTTCATGCATTTCTTCCAAATATTATGATGTTTATGGCTTTTGTCCTCTGGGGTGTTACAGAAGGTGAGTGTTTCAAATATGTTGATCACACAATAACAAAACCAACATTATTTGAAGACCTTACAGATCTGCTCACCATTTGAAGAGTTAATTAGCAAAAACCGATAAACGGCACGTTTAAACAAAATGAACTGACTGCTGTGCGTTATTTTCCACAAATAGCATGCTCTGAACCCTAAACACGTTTTGTCACAAAAGCCGGTATTGTCCACTTTAAGGCATCGCGAGTTCACGTTTTACAGCAGAAACCGACAAGCACACCTTGTTGTTTGTGAACAAAACCCGATAAGTCCTTTTTAGCGAATCAGCGCGCAGTATTCAGGTCAGGTTACCAAGTCTGCTAGTCACTTTGAAAAGACACGCTAGCTGAGAGGAGTTTCGTCAAAGCTGACTAAAAGTGATCAAGGATGGATCATTTCGACAAACTTTCACAGAACCTTGCTAAAGCAGCACATTACAGTGGTGAGGGAAAAGCTCCCTATCGCGTGTAATCACAACAACAAAGTTTAGGCATCTACTGTACATTGTCAGCTGAGGAGATTAACTCTAACTGCTAAAAAAACAAACTTTTTAATATATATATATATATACATGCTTTCAATTAACTTTTTAATTTGGTTAGTTACCTGTATTTTTAATTGAGTTATTATTATTTAATTAAAACAACTCAACTGCAGTTTGATTGAAATTACTTGGAATGCACAATAAAAATAAAACATAATTTATGAAAATTAATAAAAACTGAGTTCTGTTTTTGCAAATTAACTCTTCATTTATAACAGGAGTAGGCAACGTCGGTCCTGGAGAGCCACTGTCCTGCAGAGTTTAGCTCCAACCCTAATGTTGCTTACCCCTGATTTATAACAGTGTTTCCATGCATTGCGTCATACTTGCATCACTTTTTCCTGAATGTTTGAATTATACAGTGCCCCCCAAAAGTTTGAAAATGCTTTAGTCCAGGAGTCAGCTTTCACAACCATGCCGGCCTTCCGCACCCTAACACACACCGCTCACTCTCTCAAGTACTGATCACCTCCACCGGAGTACTCATTAACCCTTCATCATGAACAATACCCTGAGGCTACGTCCACACGAAGCCAGAGCTTTCCCTATCCGATCTTTTTTTCTCCCTCGTCTCAAGAAATATCTGCGTCCACACGAAACCACAAAACCGACACAAAACGATGTAGTATACATGCCAGACCACAGTGTTTGTTCATGTTTTTGTTGCTGTTACGTGACGCAGCAGTGTCTGACTAGGGGCGAGATGTGGGCTGATGACGTCATCGTTTCAGAAAATATACGGATTCGCTGTCCACACGAAAACGCAAGGGTGGCGTTTTCAGATTTATCCACTCTGGGACCCGGTTTAAAAAAATATCGGTTTCACTCTCCCAAAACGCCGGATCCGTCTGGACGAAATGCCTATACAATACAAAATGTATGCGTATACAGCTAAACGCGTCTCCGTGTGGACGGGGCCTGAATTTGCACACAATCAGTGTCTGGTTTTGTCTTATGCTTTGACGTTCAGACCACAATTGAATTACTTATCTGTGCACTTTCACTTTCAAACGCACTTTCAAAACCATAAAAAATGGACCAAAGTGCTATACATTAATAGTATATAATCTAGAAATCAAAAGATATTAATAACATAACACCATAAAACAGAACAAATCGTTCACAATTGTCTGACCTAATCAAACGTATAAAACAAGTAAGTTTTCAACTCCCTTTTAAAAATTTCCATGCTTGACGAGGATTTTATAGATAATGGCAGTGGGTTCCAAAGTGCCAGAGCCGCAACAGAAAAAGCGCAATCTCCACAACGCCTCAGGCGAGACCATGGGAGAGTTAAGAGCATGCTCTGAGAAGAGTGCAGAGGACAATGAGATTGGTAAGGGATTAGCATATTCTTTATATACTCAGGAGCCTGATCAAGCAGTGCTTTATAAACAAACATCATCACCTTGTACTGTATTCAATATTTTACAGGTAGCCAGTGCAGAGATGCCAACATATAAAACCTATGTTCACGTTTTCTGGTGTTTGTTAAAAATCTTGCTGCAGCATTTTAAAACATACTGAAGACGAGTATCCAGAGATTCACTTACGCCTAGATATAAGGCATTACAATAATACAACCGTGTTGAGAAAAAAAACGTAAAACAGTCTCAAAGTCCTTGTTTGAAAGGATAGTTTTCAGTTAAGACAATTTCCTTAACTGAAAGAAAGATGTTTCCACAACAATGTTTACTTGACGGTCAAAACGGATTTCAGAATCAAAAATTACTCCCAAGTTCCTCACATAACCATCCAAATTGTTGGAGAGTAGTCCGTGGCTTTCAACCACACCTCTCTCAAACTGTTTGTTACCAAATATAATAAACTCAGGCTTATCTTCATTTAATTGTAAGACATTATTTGCAAACCAACCCTTAACCTCAGTCAAGCACTTTGTAAGGGAAACAGGTCAATTTAGCCCAAAGGGAATCATTTAAGATTTTATAGGGAATTTGGACAGAATCACTGTTTTACAGCTGATCACTGAGTCGGCCAGCGATTCATTGAACGAGCCATATAACATCAATTCTGCATGGATATTAATAGCCAAAATATAGTGAAAACACTATTTATTAGCACAGTAACAAGATCGGCAGTTTAAGACATTAACTTGCAAGCTCAAAACAAGATACTTCTCTTTTCAATATGAATAAGACTTTATTGGATAAATCTAATACAAACTAATCTAACACATGAACACACGTATTCACACAAGTTGCAGAAAGAGAGAAAGTGAGGAAATAATTAGTTTAAGAGAATGAAAATGTGAAATCCCAAGTTTACAGCAATATGTGCAATTGCATAGACCTGAACAACCATCAATCACTTAATTAACCCTCGAATTGAGTTCCTCAATGAGGTTAAAATTTATATTAAATGCACCAGTTAAGCTAGAATCTGGAGGTACTTGCGTTGCCTGTGTAGGGGGATTCCCTTTGTTGTAGTCATTGCAGAAAAGGGGGTTTCCCGAGGTTGCTGATTGGCTGGAAGTTCAGTAGTCGTTGAAGTGACGTCTTGGGAAGCCAGTGTTTGGGCGTTGGCTTAAGATGCGGAGTTGTGGGCTGGTTGAAGTTTTGAGGCGGTCAGATTCGGGGTGAACTCGGAGACAAAACTTAACTCAGAACACGAAACTCGCAATGGAAAAGAAAATGAAATTAAAGTAGAAGAATAGAAGTAACGGGACTAGATGGGGTTTTCTTCTCATGGTTTTAGAGGAGCTGCTGGCGTGTAAGCCAGAGCACGCTCAAAGAGCACTAAAAACCAGCGTCAAAATGCGGTGGCAAAAAGGCAAGGAAAAACCTAGAAGCATGACTAAAGGCTAGAAGCGATGACTTGAAGCTAAAAGCTAAAAATCAGTGGCTTAAAGCATGACTAAAAAGCATAATTTGATGGTGTCCTGAGTATTTAAACCAGGCTGTTGGACACATCCCAAATGGTGCCTTGACCAATTAGATATTGTCTTTGCTCGGGGTGTTGTATGTTTCTCCTCCCAATACATAAATCAACATGTGATCTTATCAGTCACATGGTCCGAATTTTCCTGCTCTTGCAGAGTATAAGTGCGGAACGCGACACTGTTTGAAAGGGGTCTCGTTTCACTGTTGCACTGTGGTGAGGGAACAGCTATATGTGTTACTAAGCGTGTAAGTTCCGAAACTGAAGCTGTAGAACTAATAGTTATCTGCCGATACAGATCTTTTTAAAGCCTTCTTTTTTTATCATTTATAACTATTTATATACTCCAATCAGGATTTTTAGACATTTA